CTGAGCAGAGGGCTAGGGCTGGCTGGAAAGAACCAAGAGGCTAAAGGCCCGCACAGGCCGGGCTCAGTGGCTCAGCCTGTAATCCCAGCACTTCGGGAGGTCGAGGCGAGTGGACTGCTTGAGCCAGCGGGTTCAAGACCCACCCGGGCAGCTTGGCAAGACCTCGTCTCTACAATAAATCAAAAATGTGCCGGGCGTGGCAGCACGTGCCTGTGGTTCCAGCTACTTGGAAGGCTGAGGCGGAAGGAACGCTGGAGTCCAGCGTGCACTCCAGTCTGGGTGACAGAGTGAGACTCCAACTCAATAGAAAGGGGAAAAAAAAGGCCCGTACAATCTTGGGATGCCCATTCCCAGCCACTTCTACCTTCCCCTCGGCTCACCCTAGGAAGGGGAGTTGGGAAATATTGGGAAAACCTGACAGTTGTACTTTGAAAACTACAACTCAGCTAATGACAAACCGGCCAAGGTTGTGGCCCTGAATGAACGAGTTCCTGCACTCCATTCAGTCTCAGCAGGCTCTCCCAGGGAAGGTGTTTAACCCTTTAACAACTCAGAATAAAGGTCTCTGGCTGCCAGAGAACTTGCCCACCACAACTGCTTGGTTCTTTGTGACAATATCACAGTTTAGATAATTAAGCTACGACCAAATGATGACTTACTGCTTTAAAAGGACTTTCAAAGGAGGGAGGGAGGGTGGTGAGGGAAGCCAAGGATTTGCCCCTCCCTACACCCTTCAAAGGAGGACAATCTGCTAAGAATGGCCCCAGTGGGAGAATCTGGCATTTGAAGGCTAGATTTGTCTGGGAATCGTTCTTCCTGTCCTGCTCCAGGGTCACCTCTGGCCATCATCTGTTAGAGAGCGCCAGAGAAAACAGTTGCTTCTCATCACTTCATCCCATCACCGGCTAGCAGTTCAGTTTTCTTCTCTCTTCCCTCTTCCCTCTTTCACAGCCAATCACCTGGGCTCAAAGTCCCAGCACATGGAAGGGTGGGAGTCTTGCTGGACTCTGGTTTTGGGGTATTTTAGTCAGCTTCAAGGTCTGTATCACTGTATGATCTTCTCAAACTGAGCTCTGCTCAGATCCTCATAAAGGGAGATTAGAAGCCAAGTCAGAGCTGGGCATGGTGGCTCTTGCCTGTAATCCCAGCACTTTGGGAGGCTGGGGCAGGAGATCAGGATCGCTTCAGCCTAGGAGTTCGAGACTAGCCTGAGCAACACAGTGAGACCCCGTGTCTACAAAAAACATAAAAACTAGCCAGACATGGTGGTGTGCGTCTGTAGTTCCAGCTACTTAGAAGACTGAGGCAGGATAACTGCTTTGAGCCCAAGAGTGAGAGGCTGCAGTGAGCCATGATTGTTCGTGCCATTGCACTCCAGCCTGGGCGACAGTGAAACCCTGTCTAAAAAAAACAAAACACACAAAAAAATGAAGCTAAGTCAGAAAAGAAGGTAGCTAGAAGGAGCCTGCTAACCACTGGCCCAAGTCCGTGTGTGTGGGGTGGGACCAGAACTCCAGGCCCCCAGGGGAGGGCTTCCTCCTACAGATACCAAAATCATATAATTTGTCTCCCTCGCCTCAAGAAATTAATTTACAAGAATAGACCTTAGCTTGCTCCTGAGACAGGGGCAGGAAATGACTTCCCCTTCCCTCAACCAGAAAAAGACAGACAAGGGAAACTCTTCTGCAAGTGGCTACCTGCCCCACAGGGCCCTTTCTCTCCTCGATAGATCCAGCACATCTGTGCTCCCTCCCCAATGCCCTTGCTTCCTTCACTGACTGGGCCTGTCCTTGGAAAGAACAATCGTGATCACAGCTGAGCTGTGGAGCCTCTTAAGTCCAGCCACATGTCCCAGATACATCCCCCCACCACCTTGTCAGCTGTCCGGATCCACAGGGTGGCCCCAGGCCCCAAGAGCCAAGGACGCCCCACCTTACAGCATGCAACATCACGCTCCACCTATGGTGTAGAAAGGGGTGTCCCCAGAATCAGGCCTTCCTCCCAGAACCCCGGAAACATTGCAGTGTGGCCCTAGTCCTGCTCCCTATCCTCCAGAGAGGAGTTTGTTCCCGCTACTCTGAAGATGGGGAAACCAAAGCCACACTTAGCGGGTGTGGCTCGTTACTCATCTGCTCTGCCCTGGTCTGGTCTGGTCTAGAAGGAGCAATGTAGCTTTCAGTGTGTTTTCCATTCACTTTCTTCCTCTGACTCTTTTCAGAGAGCTTTAAAAACAAATTCTAACGAGCCATTGCTTTCCCCTGCCTGGGAGATCCAGGTTGGCTATGAGATGGAAGCTTCTTCAACTCTAGCCATTTTCCTGTCTTAAAAACCCTGTCACGTGTACATTTGAAACCCCCAAAATTCAACTTTATCCTCAAATCCAAAGGCTTAGGCAAGAACCCTAACCCAGGTTGTCGTCTCAAGAGAATTTCCACCTCAAAAGGGGCCAGATGACAAGCACTCTGGGTTTAGAACCCAACTGAACATAATTCTCCAAGACATACCAAAGTTTCCTGAATAAAGAGGACAGACTCCTTCTGAGGTCTTCTGGGTACCAACACGCAGAACTACGGGGGGGGGGTGGCGAGGGCTGAAGATGTCACAAGGGACTTTTAGCAGTGACAACTGGAATTCACATGTGACCCCAAAGCATTAAACCCCAGGGCAATACACCTCAAGGGCCACTTTGCGTTAATGGGTTCTTTTCTCCTTCCTTAGTTTTTAAGCCACCTACTTTCAAATTTTGCAACAAAAAAGCTGCCTTAATTTGTTATTCTAGAAAGAAGGTCAAACCCCTGGGCATATGCAATGTCAGCTTTACCAAAGGGAGAAGAAATCCAGAATATAAGCTGGACAGAGCAGAATTCCAAGGACAAGACCCTCATCTCTCTCCACTATTCTGGAAGGATGCAGACAAAAATGACACCTGTGAGCTCCCAGTGTCCACTTGTCCCTAGGCTCCGCCCTGTGTTCCATCTCTCCCCCCATTAAAGCTTTAGTGAGATGCTGCCATTTCAGAGGGAGATCTGGAAAGGGCATAGGGCTGGGCAGTAGGGTTTTTACACCCCACAAACAGGGAGTGACTGCCCATAACCAACAGATGGCTTTCGAGTCTCTCACCACAGCTGGATCAATATTTCTCCATTGAGATTTCAGAAATCTGCTACCAAAACGCACCCCACCCCCACCAGACTGGTGAGTGTGCTCTGTTCACCACGTTGGAATTCATCCAGAGTCTGGCAGCACGTGAAGACCCTCTTAAGGGACGGGAAGGAGAGAAAAATGAGATTTCACAATGGACATCTCTACAAGTTCTTTCCTACCCTTCTGAGGTGGGGGGACACCAACTGCAGCCCTCCCATTGCTAGCCCGACTCACACCTGCACCAAAGGAAAAAAAAAAGCTGAAGATTTCAGATGTTTATGCTCCATTTGTGTGAAGACCCAGAGAACTCTAAACATTGTGAAATCCACCGGTGCAATTTTGGGTAGGGCCTCAGGCCAGACTGAACTTATTAAGAGGTTGATAAACCCACAATCCCCAACTGCTCTGAGCCTTTCACCTTCCAGCCCCGAGTCCCTAAGAGGCTTGTCAGAAAGCCTAGTGCCTCCTCAGCCACCCAGACAGACCCACCTTCCCCCCCACCCCCTCCGCCCCTCGCAGGTTCTCTGGCCTCCAAAGTGTCGTCGGTCTTCTCCCAGAACTGGAGAATCACAGCCCTGACGTGGAGGCAAGAGAGAGGGGGCTGCCACACGCGCCCCACTGCATCTTCACCTTCCCTTCCAGCACTGAGCACCCTGGGGGTTCCTGGAGGCTCGCTGCGCCAGAAGGCGGCCTCCTGCCCTCACCCAAGCCTGGCAACATGGAAGCCCCTCCAGCAGCTAGTGCAAGAGGCCGCAGGCAGCTCCCCCTCTGCCTCCCATCCAGCCCCTCCAGCCCACTTGGCCTCTCCTCCATCCCTCAACCTTCAAGCCCTGCAACCATTTTCCACCTCTCTTGCCTCTCTGCCCCCAGCCCCCAATCAAAGAGAATTGAGAAACCATCTTCTTGCACAAGAGCAGCTACCGTCTAAACGCTTTTTGATCGCAGCATTGGGGGGCAACTGGGCACAACAACCCGGGCCCTAGTGATGGAGCCGAGACCCAGGTGCCCTGGCGGGCCAAACCCGCTCTCACCCTGCTCACTGTCCCCGGAACCTCGGTGACTTGTAATTTCTCAGAACGTACCGTCTCTCCTGTGATGTCAAGCCTGGTACCACCAAGAGGAAGGCAGGGTGGGAGCCTTCTCTCCTATGCTCGCCACCTCTTCCTCCAGCTCCCACACGCCTGGCGTTATGTAAACGCACCTTCAGCCCCCACCACGGCCCTAGCGCGCCCGGGGGCCCGGGGCCTGGCCCAGCTCGGTGCCCGGAGGCAGGGAGGCAGGGTGACCGAGGAGTCTCGGGCCTGCAGAGGCCGGGAGAGCAAACGCAACCGCAAGGCAGTTGCACAGCATAAAACGCGGCAGCAGAGCAAAGGTCAGACGGCGAGGAACCGCCTCGCCAAGGAGGGAGAGCAGAAATGCCCAGCCCTGGGCCGGTCCGCGCTGACCATCGAGGGAGAGGTAGCAGGGGCGCAAGCCCGGCCCCTCACGGCTCCGAAGGGGAAAGAAAAATCTACGTCGGGCATAGGCCGCTGAGGCGGGCCGGGGAGATCCACGGGGGAGCCGGCCCCGTGGGCACGGAGCCGCGGTGGGCGAGCCGCCAGGGTGAGGGCGCCCCCGACCCTGTCTGGAGCTGCCCGTCAGCGCTCCGGGCGGGCGGTGGCAAGAGGAGAGGCCAGGCCGGAGGCAAGCCCCCGGGACGCGCACTGGAC